AACAAAATAACAATTGAATAGTATTTTTGTTGAAAAATGTTGTATATGTATTGGATTGGCAAATTAGTCCTTTCGGTTTTCAGGGTGAAATAAAAGTCAATGTATTACAGACATAAAATTTATTTTAATCTATAATATATTGACCATTATTTAATATGACGTTTTCTCACCTTTACACTAACTGCATAATGCCATGTTCATAGAATGTATAGAGTTTATTGTTAAAAAACTGATCTTATGTGGTTTTTGATGTCCTCTTCCTTTTGGAATTTCTTTCCATTCACGGAGTTCTTCAGAGACCGAAATAAACTAGTAGTCACTTGGAGCTAGGTCTGGAGAATAGGGAGGGTGGGGCAAAAGATCTTACCCAAGGGTCAATAATTTATTGCGAGTGAACAACGAGGTGTGGGGCCTAGCGTTGTCTTGGTTGAACGCAACATCCTTTCGATTTCCCAGTTCTGGGAGTTTCTTTTTAATCGATTGAACCGATTTTGTTAATTATGAGCAGTATGGAGTTGAATCAATTGTTTGTCCTGACGGCAATAGCTCATAGAATATAACACTCTTGAAATCCCAACATATGATAAGCATTATCTTCTTTAGATGCAATCCGCGTTTTCATATTCTTCTAGGAGTCTCACTACTAGGTCTCCAAGATTTTCTACGGACTACATTAACGTAAAATATCCATTTTTCCTATTATCAACATTTCCAAAAGTGGGTCGTTTTGTATTGTTTCCGTATTGAATCACAAACAGAAATGCGTGTTGCCAAGTTGACTTCGGCTACAAAGTGAGGGAAAACAAAATTTGCCAATAATGAATGATATTTTCATCCATATTCACAATGCAATAGCAAACACAATACTAAGTTTCAACAAGAGTTAACAGATATAGTTGTTGACATATTACAAAAAGGATAACAATCCTCCTTAGGGAATAATTCATCAGATAACGAGTGTATCATAGTGACATAAAAATAAACATAGACGCCGAAAGGCATTATTTTCCAACCCAATATATATTTTATTTTAAACATACTTATTTTTATTAATGTTACAATTCATCATAGTATTGATTCAGATAATAGAGATCTAAAGAGATTTATTACAGGAGCTAAGTAAATTTTATTTAGCAGATAAGCAGATCGATCAAACATACTCTGAGACAAACAAAATACAGGGGGACATGTTTTATGCTAAAGACGGGTATATAAACCACAAAAAGGTCCAAATAGAAAACAAATAAACTATAAATTACAAATTTTTGTTTTATTGAAATCAATAAACGAATTGAAATAAAGGTGAGTCAAGATAAACCTAAAATTAATAAAGATAGATAAAGAATATAAACTAATATATATATATATATATATATTATTAAAAAACATTTTTAGTTACAGCACAAGTTAAAAAAAATATAAATATAAAGTAATATAATATGTTGTTATAGAGATAATTCCAATATAAAAATAATATGTTTGGTTTGTCTTATATTTCTAATTTAATAAAAACGTTAATTCATAAAACATAAAAGTTTATGTATAGCACTCGTTAATTTCAGAGACTAATAGATCTAAACAAAAATATTTTTTCGTTAACTGATTTACGAATACAGCTTCTCGTTTTGTTTGCAGTTACTATTAAGCAAAGAATTTTGTTTTCCATGGACAAATATATTTTACGTTATATAGATCAGTTTATAGAGATACAACAAAGGTAAAAATGAAAAAAAGAAATATGTTTTTACGATAATCCTTAATGCTCCTTACTTTGTAACAAATAAAATAATCCATAATGACCTCAACGTTCCATATGTTTCCGATTCGGCCCAATCCAGATACCTATCCTTTCATAATAAACTTCAGAACCATTGTAATACTCTCGTTTCTACCCTTGCTTCGTCCTCGATCCCTATTAACTAGTGTTGCCCAAAATCGGTCTTTGCAAGACCAAGACCAAGGCCACCTAACTGTTGCAAGACCAAGACCAGGACTGGTAAAAAAAAAAATGAATTTTTTAAATAAAAAATTAAGGCAATATAGTTACTTGACAATCTTTGTTGCTATATGTTAATAAATGGTGTAAACAATATCGTTTTGCATTCAACTCCTCAAAATTCCTGTAATATCACTATAGTAATAAGCTCATAAGTAACAAGAGTTGCGGGACTCTTGCGCAAGACCAAGACCACGACCAACACTGATTTTGCAAGACCAAGACTCGGCATGGTCTCGCATTTGGGCAACACTACTATTAATCCTCTTAGGTGTCTGAAAAGAAGATGGTCACTTGATCTCCTAATTTATAAACTTTATTAGAGTCTAAAACAGCAGTTGTAAATTTCATAAATAATAATAATAATAAAAAAAAAAAGTTTTTGCGATATAATTCTGTAACTTTTCTTGAAATGGTTTGAAACGTACCATATTCGAATAAAAAATCGTCAATATAAAGGCATTATACTGATCATGTTTTCCATTAAATCAGTTTTTAGATAATTGGCCAATATTTATTTTTCACAGAAACTTTGCATGTTGGCGGCAGATAAAATATGTTAATGTTATTTTAAGAAATTAGAAGTTTTTGTGCCTATGGATTGTAATTCATATGTTGAATCACGTATGTATTCATTGTTACAGAAGTAAAAAAAAAATTCTTCTATACATATAGTTTTATCATAATATACCATATGTTTAAAAATAAAACAAACTATCGTGCATAAATATTATCAAGTACCACGAGAAATTTATTTAAATAATATTGAATCTATAAATAATCAAACGACTTGATTAAATTTTATAATTTTATTTTCTTGACTAATTTCTTAGGCAGACCGCAAAACTTAAAAGAATTCCAGAGGGTTCCTCTCAAGTTTATTTCTTTCATTATCATGTAAATTAAACAAAACCGTTCTCACGAGAAAAAAAAAATGGAATTCTTCCTTTTATTAAAATTCTTGGTCAATGCATGTGTCCATGCAATTTCTTAAATATAAAATAAAAAAAATGGGGTCGGTACTTTATTAAATGAAGTAAATGGAAATAATTAGTGCTATTTATTTAGAGACAAAAAAATTAACAGTCCGTTTTACTATAATTAAGATAATTTTCGAGATAATTCCTTTATTATTTAGAAGGCATATGTATTACCTATTACGATAATTTTTTATGTTTTATTGACATTTTGTCACATTGATAACAGACTTGATTTATGACTAGAAGATAGTAGAGAGAAATAATTAAGTATCACTGAAAACTATAAATAACTATAAAAAAAAATTATCAATTTTCTTCCAAAACATGAAAACAATCGATTCTTAAATAATTTCCGTAAAAATTAGGCCAAAATATGTTGCTCGAATTCATGAAAGGTTTTTGTAAATTAGACGAGTTAATATACTTTTAAAAAATTATAAATAACTCAATAAAAAGGAAGTAAACAAAAGGTTGTATTTATATTGGTGATACAGTATTGAAATTAATAACATTTTTCGGTGGATTTATTTCTTCTTATTTTTGTAAATCGTTTAAGTTTAATTTTTGATGTAGTTTTGTCTATTTAGTTTAAACTAGAAAACATTTTATTATTATTTTTTCCATTTTTTCATATATTAAATTATTATATTACTTAGGTAAAATATTTTAGATCTTGGTAATGTAATTTTTTTTTCTAAAATAAATAATACTATAAATTGCCATGAAGTACCAAGTATGATAATAAGCCATTTTTTATCTGGATTAGATTAACTTAGCCATAGGCGGATCTACGAAGGGGAGTTTTTGGATTGAAACCTCCTCCCCCCCAAAATTGTAAAATATAATTATGTTTTCTAGAAAAACTATCTCTTAAAATATTATTGTTCGTGTAATTACATTTAATAGGACACTTCAAGAATCATTTAAACGTCATTACGTACAGTTAGTTTATTTTAAAAAAATTACTATCGTTATATATATGAAAAAAAGGTTTCGGGCTGAAGTCCCCCCTCCCTAAATTAAATCCTGGATCCACTAGTGAACTCAACAAATTTATCAGAACTTTTGATCCCTCGGTTCTTATTGTGGCGTTGTTTCTAAATTTCACGTGTATCTGTAATTTTAAGTTATTCACGTCGGGTTTATAAACTTAAAATTAAGACAACATATTTAATAGTTTTGGGTGTATGAGTTCTAGATATCTTATTGCGTATTTTCAGTTTTTATTCTCTGTTAATCATTGAGTTCTCGTTCAATAATTTCGAAAGAGAGTGTTTGATAGAAAAACAGATTTAATTGAATTATATGACTAGAACATTTTATTTAATTAAGATAAAAAACGGGTTTATAATTTAATAATTGAGGGAATTAAGTTAATAATTAAATATAAAGCGAGCGTTGTTTTTGATGTAATTCAGTGGTATTTGTATGTTTTACATAATATATTTATATTGAATCCAAAAATGTATACTAACTTTAAGATGTCTATGCATTTTATTATACAATTAATTTATTCAACACTTTTCGTAAAAAATTAATCCAGAATATGTCACAGGACTTCATATAAATTTTGTAAATTGTACAATATTTCATCGATCAAATTTTCAAAATTGTATAAATATTTTTATAATTTTAATTAATATAATTTAACCTAGATTATCTGAACATTGATGTTTATGCATAGTTAAAATCGAACTACGAATTGTCCATCTAAACTAAGAGATAAGCTATTATGATAACGCTGCTCATGACAAAGCTGCCAAAATAATTTAAGCTTCTAGTCCTATTTTTTTGTCAAAAATTTTAATCTTTCATACTTACAGGCTTTGAGATAGGAATTTCGATTTCGCTAATCTTGATATGGCGTTGTTCTTTAATCCGTCTAGCATGGTGAACTTATCCAGTTTTGTAAATTTTTGTGAAACTCTCGATTATTTGTAGAAATTTATAAAAAAAACAAGTCGCATTAAGATTTTTTTTTTTTAAACACTATTCCATTTCTACTTATAGACCAAGATCAGTCTTCATGTAAAAATTAAGGCTTTTTTTTTTTTGGTTTTTGTTTTCGCTGTTTCGAGTCTTCGTCCGAAATCCTTGATTGGTACTAAAGAAGCTCGAATCGGTGCACTAATACATAGATCGAACACAACGACGTGACGGCGAAAACACGACACATACCAACTGAACCTGTACCGCCTCCTCAGTGACGGCTGGACCGCCTCTTGGCTCCACTGCTGCCAACCTACCCCCGCCAAAAACCCTCCCCACCACCTCCCCACCCCCCCTGTTTATCTCTTCCTGTCTACTTTTTCTCCTTTTCGTTCTCTTGGTCATCATTCATCCTGGATGTGGGTTCGTCTAGGAGGATCTATCTTGTAGAGTTGCATTTCAGAACATATCCATAATTATCGGTACCACATTGCAAGAGTCACTCCAACATGATAGATGAACACAAGTTCACTTATATTTAAAAGTAGGAAAAGTTTAAGGAAGGCTTGAGCCTTATAATTATATAAGTATTTCACTCCAATATAAGTATATAAGTAATTATATGTGTAATTATATAAGTATGTAATTATATAGTTTGTTGAATATTTAATAGTACGTTGCATTGAATATATAATAGACCATTGCATTATAAAGGAAGGAGATGGTCCGGGGTGGCGGTCATAAATAGGCTAAATAGTGGCAAAACTATTTTATTAAAAGCCAACCTCTCGACCCGATTTTGCAGTTCTTCTTCAGGACTAGAACAGACAAGATACAAAAAGATACAGAGAATTGTGGAAGTTACATAATATTTAGACAAAAAATTATAAACAATGTGAATAAGCTTATTAAATTATAAACAGGAAGTACATTACAATATGAACAGAGTAAGCTAAGTAACAAGATCCTAAACTGAAGTAAATAGATGGTAACAATTGTTTTAATGTAATATATAATATATGAAATTGTGAATATACTTCTACAGATCTACTGAAGAGATTGGAAGATAAGGAAAAAAGATATAATATGAAATAATAGACATAAAGGAGTGTGGAGAAAGGAAATAGAATAAATAAATAAATAAAAAATAAGTAAATAAAATTAGAAGAATAAAAATAGAGACTTACGGGTGTGTTTAGCTAGGAGTTTTACTTAGAACTGGAAAATCATTCATCCTGGATGTCGGATCGTCTAGGAGGATCTATCTTGTAGAGTTGCATTTCAGAACATATCCATAATTATCGGTACCACATTGCAAGAGTCACTCCAACATGATGGATGAACACAAGTTCACATATATTTAAAAGTAGGAAAAGTTTAAGGAAGGCTTTAGCCTTATAATTATATAAGTATTTCACTCCAATTATAAGTATATAAGTATGTATTATATAAGTAATTATATAAGTATGTCACTCCAACTTGATGGATGAACACAAGTTCACATATATTTAAAAGTAGGAAAAGTTTAAAGAAGGCTATAGCCTTATAATTAATGTAAGTATTTCTACAACTCTAACGAAAGCCTCGTATATATTTTTTATTTATTTATTTTTATTTTTATTTTAATGAGATTTACAACTGTATTACATTAAAAATACAACAAGTAAATGTGACATTGGTAACATGACATGTAAAACATGAAGAGAAACTACCCATTGGTAGAACTCAAATTAAAGTTCTACATTAGAAGATCCCGAGGCCATGGAGGATTATTAGGGATCGAGGAGGAAGCAAGGTTTGAAACAAGAGGGTTCGGATGGTTCTGCAGTTTGTTACGGAAGGATGGGTATCTGGATTAGGCCAAGTTGGAAACATATGGAACATTAAGGTCTTTATGGATGATTTTGTTTGTGACAAAGTAAGGAGCGTTGAGGATTTTACGAAGGATTTTGGATTGGAAGGATTGGATACGAGAGGAATTCGATGGTTTAGTGGAGACCCAGAGCTCAATTCCGAAAGTCCAAATAGGTCTTATTATTGTCATATATATGAGTCGTTTGTAATTGATTTAAAGCTTAGCGCATTTGTCTAGTAAGTGTTGGAGTAGTCGGTCGTATATGTAAATCCAATAATACGTCTTGCGCAGTCATAGGACTAAATTACATATTTTCATCGTTACTAACAGCTGCAATAAAAATAATTAATTATACGGCTTGAAACTAAAGAAAACAAAAATCCCCTACAGTTTTGTCGGCTTATATGGTATCACGTCACGTAATACAAGCAGAAAAAGTACCAATAAAGAACTCCTCAGCATATTTCATTATAAGAAGACAAGAAGGTTTATTTAGTTAGGCTGGACATATAGCACGAATCAATCGTGCAATCGTTTTTTATTTTACATTTGGTAACAACAACAACAATAATTTATTTATAACTCCAGAAACATTTATTTAAAATGATGTAGAGATGATTAACCGTGATATAATATGGATAATATAATATAGTATATATAATATAATATAATATGAGAAGGAGTTGATCGGGGGATGCGGTCAAATAAATACTAAATTATAGAAATAGTATTATTTAATTTTAGTATTATTAAAATTAAATAATACTATTTCTATAATTTAGTATTTATTTGACCGCATCCCCCGATCAACTCCTCAAAAAATTTATTTAGTTAGATAGCTATAGCTAGATACCTATAGCTTCGTAATTCCACGAGAAGTATGATCACGTGATCTTGTGCTCATTCATCATGTTAGAGTGACAAAGTAGCACCATATATTTTTTTTTTCTTAAAAAAAATTTCCGCCTGGCCACTGGCCACGACTATCTACAAACTCATCTCCACAAGATAGGCGTGGCTGAGGATCCTAGATGTAAATTATGTGAACAAGCGGAAATGGATGCAGACCACCTAAACGAATGTCCTGCTTTGATGTATATAAAGAATCAAACATATGTAAATGATCACATACAAAAATCAAAATTATATTGAGCAGCAAGATGTCGGATGGTCGAATGGTCAATGACTATGGCATAGAAAAAAAAAAAAAATTGTTTCTGTTGTGAAACTACTAAGGTAAAGTGAAGCATTAAGAGAAATAAAATTTCAGTTACTTTATTAAATAAATGCCTTTCAGAAAATTATATGAACTCTCATTATATTTACTACCTACCATATTTCTCAGATATTATATTCTTAAAAACTACATTAATTTTAACTTTTTTTTTTAAATGATTTTATTGAGTATTAGTACAGCTTGTCACATTAAAGGGCATTGGTGTTAAAGAGACGGTATTCATTCACACAACATGTACACAAAAAAGGCGAATAAATATAAATAACTAAAGTAAAAAAATAAAATAAAAAACTGAAGAGAATTAATATATACACGATAAATAAAATAATAGACCGAAGCCGAACGATTAGAAATTAAATAAAGCACATCCTATATATAAATATATTTGTTTAATATTTCTTTCTACTTTGGTCCAAATCAAACGAACATATTTGAATTTTAGGCTTGTCCACATATGAGTGCAAAAGTATAGGATGGATTGTTATGGAACCATATAGGTAATAACACACATTTACTAAAGAATTTTTAAAAAAAGAGATTAATAATAGATGAAATATCCGATAGATGGATTTGGCTAAAAACAAGCGCGGAACCGACTTTGTTCGCATATGTCTAAAACGCAAAACTGGAAATTTTCGATGCTGAACATGAAAAAAAATTGTTAACTTCCCATACGAATGAAAAGATGGTAAAACCTTCTGTAATTAGAAAGCTAAAATATTACAATTCCAGAAGTAATTAACATTTCCTTTTAGTTTTAATTACAAATCAAGAATCTCATTTACATTGTATATTAAAAATCTTTTCAACTAATCCACATCCATGAAAACCTTGCATTTTTTTCAAAATGCTTGGAAAATAATTCTCATGAAATCAATTAGTATAAATTATGTTTAAAATTAATCCTATTAACTTTTATAACACGCATCATGTTTTACGATGTGTAAATTAATGTCTAGTATACTGCATACATACAATTTAAAAAAAATCGTTAGCAGTATATACATTAATTCAAATATAATGAAATAATATCAGTTTATTGAATATTTAATAGTCCGTTGCATTGAATATATAATAGACCGTTGCATTATAAAGGAAGGAGATGGTCCGGGGTGGCGGTCATAAATAGGCTAAATAGTGGCAAAACTATTTTATTAAAAGCCAACCTCTCGACCCGATTTTGCAGTTCTTCATCAGGGCTAGAACGGACAAGATACAAAAAGATATAGAGAATTGTGGAAGTTACATAATATTTAGACAAAAAATTATAAACAATGTGAATAAACTTATTAAATTATAAACAGTAAGTACATTAAAATATAAACAGAGTAAGCTAAGTAACAAGATCCTAAACTGAAGTAAATAGATGGTAACAATTGTTTTAATATAATATAATATAATATAATATAATATATAATATATGAAATTGTGAATATACTCCTACAGATCTACTGAAGAGTTTGGAAGAAAAGGAAAAAGGATATAATAGACATAAAGGAATGTGGAGAAATAAAATAAAATAAATAAAAAATAAGTAAATAAAATTAGAGACTTACAGGTGTGTTCAGCTAGGAGTTTTACTTAGAACTGGAAAATCATGGTAAGGCCAGGTATTGGGAAAATTTGTTGACCTGTTTGGGTAATGGAAAAAAAAAAAAAACTGGAAAATTACATTACCTAAAATTTGAAGATATGGATGGAGACAAGGGAAAAAATACTATATCTAAAAAATAATAAATTATAAATATATACATATACAAATAAAATAGAATTAAGAAGTTAAACGTACATGGAAGTAAAGCCTGAAGTATATGTATATGTATACGTATATATTTATAATTTATTATTTCATAGATATAGTATTTTTCCCTTGTATCCATCCATATCTTAAAATTTTAGGTAATGTAATTTTCCAGTTTTTGTTGTTTTTTTTTCCATTACCCATAAAATTTTCTTATTTTTTAGGCTATTTTCTTATTTTTTAGGTTATTTTATTTTATTATCTATTGTATATACTTTTGATTATTATTTTGTTCTATTTATTTTATATTTTTATACATATAGTGTGAATGTCATCCTACCTTACTATAACCAATGTCCAAGAGACAGATTGTTATAATACTCAATAAAGAAATAAAAAAATAAAAAAATTACACAAACCGGTCAACAAATTTTCCCAATACCTGCCCTGATTTTCCAGTTCTAAGTGAAACTCCTAGCTGAACACACCTGTATTTTTTTCTTCTAATTTTATTTATTTATTTTTTGGTTTTCTTTTCTTTCTCCACATTCCTTTATGTCTATTATTCCATACTA